TCTGCTTTCAATGCCACCAGACTTGCACTTTTTCTCTGTCCTGCTGGGAAGCTGCGGCTGGTGTCTGAGGCTGGGCCTTCACCCGAGGACTTCATGACGCTGGCTTGACTCCTCTGAATCCCTGCTCCTGACACACATCCTCTCCCAACATGTGCTGTCAGCCTGGCTAATTGTCCTTTGTTAGACATTTCTCTCTCATTGTGAAGCATTTTCTGTTCAACCTGGATTGTGGAGGGGATGGGAGGAGGCAAAGTGGAAGCTATTCCAGGTGAGAGTCAACTTTCCACCTCTAGCTTTTGCCAAGAAACTTGAGAAAATGCCTGCGAGGGAACTAACACAGTCCTTTTCAGATGAGAACGGCCGAGCTCTCCATGCACAGAATAACGCTGACCAGCCTGGTGGATTCACTGGCGTTAATTATGTGGTTGAGGTTAAACATATTTTTATGGACAAAAGCAATGACAGACGGGTTCTTCGTACAAAAGATTTCAGCTCATTTGAGATTTAATCATTTTTAAATTTAATAATTAAAAAAAGAAGCCACAATTGTAAAGGTCAGATCTAATTCCACCGCCTATTATGAGCTGCCCAGCCCGAGGCTGCCGCTCGGAGCCAGCTGAGGATGACTCAGGACTGGGGGGAGGGACAGCTGGACGAGGACAGGGCAGGCCTCCGCGTTCGCGTGAAGGTCTGCCGCGTCAGTTAGGGCCAGTCTCATTTCCTAGCAGGTCTAATGGCAAATGCCTAATTTACTTTTCCAATCTTATCACGGTGTTTTCCCTTTCAGTGTTCATCTACTGTCCTAATTTCCTTTGCCAACTGCCCTGCCTGTATCTGTGAATTTATTTTTAAATGGTGTTGTGAGGCCTAATATTACATTTCAAAGCCAATCCAAAATACAACAGGATACTGACTGGAGCAGCAAGGTGAGACAGTGGGTCTCCTACACATGTTGACTTGCTGGACCCTGCGCCATTGGGGAAAAGCAGTCCACAAGTCAGAAAGAGCTACCAGGAGACTCAGCTGTGAAACCCACCAATCCAGAAGCTCTTTCTGTGGCTGCCCTGTCCCCAGATCACATGGCCAGTTAGCACAGGTCCATAGCCTCACCCCACTCCCAGCATCCTGACTGTGTTTACATAGAGCCCTTGGTCACTGGATAGAGTGAGGGTTCTGCAGGGGAGGTGGGAGGGACCCTCAAGCCCCAGGACTCTGAGTGCAAGCTGGGCCACAGCCCCAATGCCCCAACTATGTGGTACCATGCTTCACACCTTGCTCAAAGTAGGCACTTGAAATGAAAGTGAAACAGGAGGGCAGGGGGCCAGGCACAACCATTCTAAGAATGACATAGCTAAAAAAAGAAAAGAAAAGAAAAAGACATAGTTGTTGAGGATATGACACAAACTGGTTAGAATCACCCTGGCCCAAGACAGCAGAGGATTTGACTTCCAGTAGACTTTGAGCCTCATTATATGCTCATTGTAATACATTAACATGCTAAATAACGCACCCACAGGTGCCATGACAGTTCCCAGGCTGACCATGAAATGCCAAAAAGTGGGTGGGTAGGGGCCTGATTCCTGGAAACCCCCGTTCCTTCCCCAAAATAGTTGGACTAATCCTCCCACTTGTTAGCATATGAAATTACCCAGCCCATAAAATCTAACCACCCCCACACCTCGGGGTCTCGCTTCTGAGACATTCTACATTCTGTCTGTGGAAAGCGTATCTCTCCAATAAACTTGCTTTCACTTTACTGTGGCTCACTCTTGAATTCTTTCCTGTGTGAGACAAGAACCTACTCTCTGGCAACAAAAATGTAACCTGGCTCTACACCCACTGGGCTGGGCAGGAGGCTCTGACAGGGGGCATTCCAAAATAGTTCCGTCCAAGGATCTAAATTCTCCAAAAGCTCTCTTAAACAAAACTATGTAAAACACCATTCATGATAAGACAAAATCCACCAAAACCTACCACCACCAAAGTTCTCTTTGGAATTGTTGCCAAACCTCCCTGCCCCTCGTCTCACCTGAGTTTGGAGGGATTCATTCTCCACCCTGTAGCCAGAATGATGTTTCCAAAATGCCTGATCATTTCCTCTCTACCTCCTCCCCGGCTTCAAGGCTCCCCGTGGCACGGGGGTGAAGCCCAATTTCCCTAGCCTGGCACCCAGGCTGCCCCAGGATCCAGCCTCTGCTGCTGCTCCCCACTCCTCTCCAGCCCAGCCATGCTCAAGTGTTCCTTCACAGGGCTGGATCTTAGCATAGGCTGAGCCCTCACCCTGGAACACACATCCTGTCCCCACTCCTAACAAATCCCTGCCAACTACTTAGTGAGTCCTTAGTAGACGCCAGACAGTCTAATAAGCACTTCAACATAGGTACCTACTTTCCCTCCCCACGACCCCAGGTAGATGCTTTTAAAGGTGGAAAAGCTGATGCCCAGGGATGCTAGGTGATTTCCCCACGTCCCACAACCAGCTGAGGCCAGGCTGGGATGCTGGGATGCTGAGAGGGCTTCCTTATCCACCCTCCACCCCAGGAGGTAGATATGGATTGGGGTGTTCCTCTGCACCCTGATAGCCTTTTGTGCTGTGTTGACCCCCAGAAAGTGGACCCCCTGAAAGTATTTGTTTTTGTGCCCAGCTCCTGGCCAACGCCCAGCACATGACAGGTGCTCAATTAGTATGTGTAAAAAGAATGAATGAACCATTGGGAGAGATACTTATTGGTAAATGGATTTGTTACAAAACAGCCATAAAAGAACCCCGCAGAGCTGTGTGCCGTGCAGTTACTGTGACGAATGCCACTGGTGCACAGTGTCTGCAGGGGCAGACCCACTCAGGACCCCAGTGATGGCTCAAGAATTGGAGGGTTGTCCTTAGCAAGTTTTGGTCCCCAGCCCTTCCTCTCTTGCCACCCAGCATGCTTCTTGGTTGTCTCCCAGTGCCATTAGCTGTATAATCAGGGCCCAAACTTAAGTATTTTATTAAACATATTATTAGAAAGATAAAGCGGTTGCCTGATTCAATGTTTTTTGAGGCACATGCATGTAAATTACATTTATCCAGATGTTTAGCAGGTCCGTGCCAAACCATTTAAAACATAAAACAGATAAGTTCCTTAGGCCTAATTTTCAGCTTCCCAAGGATCAGTCCTCGGCAGATGGCTGGGCAGATGAATGCTGGAGAAAAATTAAGGGCTGTCTGTATCTTTCAAATTGACATGGAGAGCAGTTGGGTTCTGCTAGAAACTAAGAATGACCACAAAATGTAATTATGATTGTAATGAGAATGGGTTAAGCTTAAACTATTTCTCATTTTCATTGCAGTCACTGCCACAAGATGGAGTGGAGATTAATGCCAGGCCATTTCCTGTGCTTGTTATACCCTTTGTCATTAGAATAAAACATCATAATTTGAGCATCTCATGTATACTGAGAAGGATGGCCAGGGAGGGGTGGCCACACTGAACACCGGCCCAGTCTCTGTGCTCTGGCGGACTCCCCTCGTTGGCACAGGGAACAGGGTGGCTTCACTGTACACAGAGCACCCATCCCGTCTCACCATTCTGCAGCCCGGACTGAGATTCAGTGCCTCATTCTCTTCAACTGTAGAATGGGGATAATAGCGGGTCCTTCACAGGGCTGCCACAGAGAACCGACTTGTGAAGGGCTTTGCAAACTGTGAAAGCACTGTTTAAGGACAAGGCAGGAAGACAATAAGGGAACCAGCCTCTGAGCTAAAAAGATCTGAGTTCATTTCCCAGATCAACAGCCCTAATTGTGTAAACTTCATCAAGACAATTCTGAGAGCCTCAGGCTCCTCACTTGTAAAATGAGAAGACCATTCACCACATTAGGGTTGCACCTAGAATATCGAACATCAAATATTGCATGCCTAGAATGCAGCCCGACACATATTTAGTGGCCCGTGAATGGTGGCTACAACTGTGGGTGATGGTCACTGCCAATGTCATCATGTTCTTCCTTATTAGATGCAGACTCACTAATATTCCAGTAGTACAAGTGACAACGCTGAGGATTGATCACTTAAGTCAGGAGTTTTGCATCACAGAAATTTTTGTTTGAACAAAGTCTTACCTAGAGGCACCACCTGTGAAACAGGCAGGAGCAGGGCTGCTTTGATTCAAGAGGAAATGGGGGGTCTAGGGCCCATTATCCAACCAGTGTCCCCAGCAGCATCTGAGGATGCAGCTCTGGAGAGCCTAAGTACCAAGTGAATACATTTTTTTGGTCCAGATCTTCCATCCTGGACCTGCTGCCTGGCTCCCTGGAACTCTTCCTCATCCCTTCTGGACCTCCTTTAGGGTGACCTCTATCTGACACCCCCAAGAGTTCACCCCTGTCCCTTGTGGATTGAATTGGCATTCAGCCTCTGGGAAGGACCTTGGCAGCCACCTATTTCCATGAGGTTGTATAGCAATTATTACCAGTTGCAAAAGAATTTCATCACCCCAAAAAGAAACCTGTGCCCCACTGTCAGTCACGCCCCATTCCTCTCCCACTACTGGCACCTGTCAACCACTAATCTGCTTTCTACCTCTATGGATTTGCCTATTCTGGGCAGTTCATATCAACGGAATCATACAACATGTGGTCTTTTGTGATTAACTTTTTCTACTCAGCATAATGTTTTCAAGGTTCAGCCACATTGTAGCATGCATCAGTGCATCCATTACTTTTTATTGCCAAATAATAACCCATTGTATAAATACACCATACTTTGTTTATTCTTTCATCGGTCAATGGATATTTTTTAGTTGTTTCCACTTTTTGGCAGTTACAAGTAATGCTGCCATGCCATCCATTGACACGTTTTTGTGTGGACATATTTCAGCTCTCTTGGGAATAGATCTAAGAATTGCTGGATCACATGGGACCGAATTGCTGGATCATGTGGTCACTCTAGGTTTAACATTTGAGAAACTGTCAAACTGTTTTCCAAAGCAGTTGCAGTATTTTATATTTCCACCAACAGTGAACAAGAGTTCCAATTTCTCCACATCTCTGTCAACACCCGTCATCTTTTGGGTTTTATTTTTAATCATAGCCATCCTAATGTGCGTAGGGTGGTATCTCACTGTGGTTTGGGTTTGAGTTTCTCTAATGATCAGGAAGGTAAAGCATCTTTCCGTGTTCTTGTTGGCCATTTGTATATCTTCTTTGGAGAAATGTCTAAGTCCTTTGCTCATTTTTTAAAACAGGTTCTTTGGTTTTCTGTTGCTGAGTTGTAGGAATTTTTTATACATTCTGGATACTAGACGCTTATCAGATATATGATTTGCAAATATCTTTTCCACTCAATGGGTTGTATTTTCACTTTTTTAATAGCATCTTTTCAAGAGCAAAAGTTTTTTACTTTGATGGGGTCCAATTTATTTTTCCTTTGGTTGTTTACCCTTTTGGTTTCATATCAAAGAAACCATTCCACAAATGGAATGCTTTCTCCTAAGAGTTTACAGTTTTCTCTCTTACATTTAGGTCTTTTACCCATTTTAAGTTAATTTTGTATATGTATGGTGTGAGGCAGGGGTCCAATTTTATCCTCTTGCCTGAGACATCCAGTAGTCCCAGCACCATTTGTTGAAAAGACTGTTTTCCCCATTTGAATGTTCCTAGCACTCTTGTTAAAAGTCATTTACTCATGAATATATGAGTTTACTTCTTGACTCTCAATTCTAGTCCATTGATCTGTGTGTCTGTCCTTATGCCAGCGCCTCACTGTCTTGATTACCTGTTGCTTGGCAGTAAGTTTTAAAGTTGGGAAATATGAATCCCCCAACTTTCTTCCTTTTTCAAGATTGGTTTGGCCATCCTGGGTCTCTTGGATTCCATATGAATTTTAAGATTGGTTTGTCAATTTCTGCAAAAAAAAAAGCCAGTTGAGATTTTGATACAAATTGTGTTGAATCTATAGGTGAATTTGGAGAGAATTGCTATCTTAAAAATATTAAGTCTTCTAACCCATGAAAACAAATATCCTTTCATTTACTTAAGTCTTCTTTAATTTATTTCAATGCTATTTTGTAGTTTTCAGTGTACATGCCTTAAATTCTTTTGTTAAATTTATTTATAAGAACATTACTCTTTTTTGATACTACAGTAGATAAACTGGTTTTCTTAATTTCATTTTTGGATTGTTCACTGCCGATATACAGAAAGATGATTTTGTGGATTCCTTACTGGTCTCCATATACAATATCATGCCATCTGCAAATAAAGATATTTTTACTCCTTTCTTTCCAGTTTGAATACTTTGTGTTTCTTTTTCTTGCCTAATTGTTCTCATTGCACTTGAAGTCTGTCCCCTCCAACTGAACTGTGAGATCCTTAAGTCAGGGGCTTTGTTTTATTCACCTCATCACATGCCCAGGCTTGGCACAGGGCCCAATCACTAACAAATGTCTGATAAATGGATGTGAGGCATAAGAGTAAGAATTTCAGTTAAAAATATCAAGTTTCTAAAAAGATTTCCTTGCCAAACATCAAGTGTATTTTGATGTGATAAAATAGGAAGTACCAAACACCATACACCAATATGCTGTGAAGGATTCCTGCCCCAAAATGTTCATTAGAGGTAACTTCTGGCTCACAAGAAATATAGGATATAAAGATACAAGTGAAATGACACCACAAAGAAGCAAACAGACAAATTCAGAATGGAGAACATTCTGCAGGACAACTGACCATTTTCTCCAATGGGTCAGTGGCTTGTGGGGAAAAAAGTGTGCAAGTGAGACTCTTCTAGAATAAAAGATACTTAAGAGATAACTTGGAGATTCCATTATTTGCTTTAAAATATACACCCATTCAGCTCTCTCCTAAAGACCCTTCTCTGTGGAAGGACTGCACTCTCAGCCCATGGAGAGCAGGATGAGCAAAGGAGAGGTGAGAAGAAGAGACATGGACACTTCCTAGATGAAGCTTGAAAAGCCTTTCATGTTCTTCCATCTCTTTTCCCAGAAATGGGCACTTCCTTCAAACTGGGCCTCAGGATAAAGAGCTGACACCAAAGAAGCATGTGGAACATGAGTCAAAAAACAAAACTTTGTAGTTGGAAGTCACTGAGATTTGGGGGTCATTTATTACGACAGCATAACGTACCCTGAGCTGACTAACATAACAACTCCTATCAGATATTAACATAAAATTGTAGTTGCACAAAGAAAATGCCCATCATTCATAGAAATGCATATTTAAGATGGTAGGGATGAAATGTTCATGGTAGGGATGAAATGTTCATGGTAGGCAAAATTCTAAGACAGCTCCCAAGATTCACACCCCCAGGTGTATCCATTCTGAACAATACCCTCCCCCTGCATGGGGGCAAAACCTGTAATATGATGGTATATTGCTCACATGATAGGTGGTTAATCAGCTGCCTATGAGTTGATCAAAAGGAAAATTACCCTGGGTGGGCCTGACCTAATCAGATGAGCCCTTAGCCCAAGGTAAATTACCAAAGAGATTCCCCCACTGGCCTTAAAGGAGAAGCAAACAGCCATGTGGTGAGATGCCTGTGGAGAGGACCTCCTCTAGGACCTGAGGGCCTCAGTCCTACAACCACAGGGAACTGAATTCTGCCAACAATTACATGAGGCTGAGGCCCCTGAGCCCCAAGTGAGATCCCAGCCTGGCTGACACGTGGACTGCAGCTTTGTGCGACCGAGCAGAGGACCCAGCTAAGTCGCACCCAGGCTTCTAAACCACAGAGACTGTAAGATAACACATGTGTGTTGCTTTAGCAGCTAAATCTGTGTGAATTTGTTGTACAGCAACAGAAAAGGAATACAGTGTCTGCGATTTGCTTTAAAATAATTCAGCAAAACCCAGGGAAGATCGGCAAAGTACACACACAGCAAAATCATGTTAATGCTTGAATCTGAGTGCTGGGTAGGTGAGGTTCATTATAATATTCTGCCCACTCTGGTAAAGGTTTGAAATTTTTCGTAATAAAAAACTTTAAGAGATGCCTCATCAGACCATTATTTTTTTAGGTCAAGGGCCCTGACAATTCTGTTCATCGCTGTATCTCCAGCAACTAGCATGGTGCCCAGCACACAGCAGGAGCTCTGTAAATAACTGTTAGAGCAATCCTTTGACATACGGGTATGTCACAGTTTATGAACTCACAACATCTCTTTGCAGTCAGCATCATTAACTCCATTGTACAGATGCAAGAACTGAGGCCTGAGGAATTTGTGACTAGAGCCGTGTAATAAGTAATTGATGAGGCTAGAATTCAGGTCCTCCAGTTCCTGACCCAACATCCCCTGGTCTCTCTTTGGAGTATAATATCTGCCACCCAGAGTATCTTTGGGATTTAAATAGCTGCTGTTTCATTCTGGTTTATCAGGAGAATTTACGCACACCGCCTCAGTCATATTGAGACATCCTTTAGAAAACCCAGCCAGGCAGGTTAAATGTTAATTTCCTTTCTACTGTACCATTGTCTAACCTCCTTCCATGAATCAAAGTGAGTAAAAGGTTCTTCACTTACTGACATAAAACAAATTGAACAAATTATGTTACTTAACTGAGGAAGAACTAGTCCTGCCATTGATTCCAGTCCAGCCTGAGCTGAGCTTTTGCTCCTTATTAACATTCACTTGCAAATGAGGTTTGGATTTTTTAATGTAACGTTGCATCGATCTCATTAGCATATCTGGCTGCATCACATCGGTGGACCTATTCCTCGGCACTGCTTCTAAGTAACACACCGCCCGTACCCGCTTCTTAGCAGGCTATGAATCACAATCATAACCAGGCCATGAATCAGAGCCGTGGGTGGAAGCCATTCCCAACGATGATATCAGTAACTTCGGAGTGCACGGAGGGCTCAGGGCGAGCAGGAGCCTTCCCAGGTGTTAAATAACTAGCACAGGCTGCTGCATATTTCTTTTCCTTGAAAAATGCTGGTCATGGAGAGCGGGAATTTTAAGCTTTCATCCAGGGTCATTTTGGATTCAAGGGAAAGGACCTTTGGGGGACCTTGGGGGAGCCCTGTCTCTGAACCCAAGTCGTGCACAGACACACCGGTTGGTTATTGCTGGAGGGGTGACAGCTCTCTGTGTGGAGTGTATGTGAGAAGCCCCGTGCCCTCTTGGTGAGGCTGGAAGACAGGGCAAGATCTCACTGGTTTGGAGCTGGGACTCAATGGCCCTAGGGAGGGTTGTGCCCTGCCATACTCACGCCCTATTAGTGCCCCTTATTCACCTCTCTAAATCTTATTTTCTTATTTCTGCAAAATGAGGATGGCAATCATCCTTATTTTTAATCCTATTTCACAAATGGGGAAATTGAGACTCACAGAGTAACCAGGGAGTGGTAGATCCCAGCCTGGAGCCCAGATCTGCCCATCTCCACAGCCCAGGATTTTTCTCCATGGGACACTAGGTCTCAGGGACATCCTGTCTCTGGAGGAATGGATTTCTGCAGAGGAGTCAGGGAGCTAACAAATGACACTTGCAGCTCCCATCACTAACTTGCTCCCTCAACCTCTCAAAACTCTACGTGACCTGAGGAACAATCAAAAGAGGAGAGCTTAAAAGCCACTTTAAATTTCAGACCAATTCAATTTTGGAACATCACTCGTGAGGTGTAGCTTCTAGACGAAATTTCTCAATGACTAATACTCTTCTTTGTCCATTTCAGGGGAAAATGAATGTTGCTGCTAACATTTGACATCAATCGCCCAATCACATGTTGTCACATCATTACTCAGCTCCGTGACAAAGGCAGAGGAAAGAGACCGCGGCTGAAATTGTGCTGTTGGATGAGGAACCAATTCAGGGACTCTGGAGATGATGGAAGAGGGAACAGAATGAAATTTGGCTAAAGAAGCTCCATGTGATGGGCCATGTTGAGAAGGAAATAGAATAAGAAGTTTATGCTCTATCAGGATGGCTATTTGTTTCACATATAATTTTTAAAATTCTACCTGACTATTAATTTGGTCCCAGTGTGCCACTGAAGAGCCTGTCTGTGAAGGCGACTGGCCACCAGGGCAGAAATGGTGAGACGTCCACTTCTGAAGTCATAGGTCCACCACCCACAACTTCAAAATCCGGCCTCCACATTTCCTGTTCACATGCCTGTGGGGAATTATTTTTCTACTGCCAAGAGGAAGGAAAGGAATCCTCTGAATCTAAATCAAGACCAGCCCCAGAGTGTGAGGTGTGTGGAAGTTGATAATCAGAGCAGAACTGGAACCACCACGGCTCAGAGACACCTGTGAAATCTTCTTGTGCTGGGAGAACAGGTAAGAGGCTCTGAAGATCTGGAGAGGTCCTTGTGAGAGGACCGGGCCAGTGGTTTTGCTGGCTTCTGTGTACACCATTTTGCCTGTAAGTGGCTTATTTCTATAGGACCCGTTTCTCCATCATGACCCAATTTTCCAATGATGTTATTAGCTTGCCACCTACATGGGCAACTTTGGCAGGAGAGAGCAGACCTATCAGAGATATTAATATTCACAGAAGAAAGCAGTCGATACTTCATTCTTTCTTCACTGTCTAAGGGAGAACACAGGGCTTTTAGACCCTTAACAAACTTAATTTTTGCCTTCCACCTGGAGCTAGGCTTCCAGATGCAAGTGTGCAGGTAACAAAGGTGGATGAGGGTAATCCCACCCTCACCCTGTGACTCCACCCCAGGGATATGCTTTTATGGCCATGTCTTTGATGACACAGCTTGGCTGGTCCCCGTGGTCCTTCCTTCATCGTCTATGTAAGGTAGGCTCTATGTCATTGACTGTCGGGGGCAGTATTAATAGGGAGCAGGGACCTCACCAAGGGTTAAGGTTTTTGACATTAATTCTCATAGACATACTTCCTCTTTATAAGTCCTTTCTCCATAGGTTGC